GGGGTTCGATCCCTCACGCCTTTTCTTGCTGCGCTGTTTTCCCCGTTGTTTTTACGAACCGGGAACGAGTGCCCGCTGAGCTGCCGGTGTCCCCTGCCGAGCCTGAGGCACAGCAGCGTTCTTTTGGCCTGCATGACTCCCCTTTCCCCCTTACCCCAAAAAGTGGTTTGAGTGCAAACGTGTTCAGACAAAAAGCCGCTCTACCCCGAAACCCGCTCCCTGCAGGCAGCAGCCGGGACTGAGCCTCCAACCTCCCTCCCCCGCGGCTTTGAGCCCCGCGGGGCTGTCGGAGCGCTGAGCAGTGTTCCTGCAGTTCACCGAGGCGTGAATGCTGCTTCGTGGTCCGGGAACCCGCTCTGAAAGGCCTCGGCTGCAGCTGGGGCTGAGTGAGCTGAGTGACCCCCCCTGTAATGATGCTTGCTCCCCATTGCTCCATGGATGGCACTCTGCAGGGTTGGTGGAGGTGGGAGTCTCCCTGCTCTGTCCCCATGGCTGTCACCAAGATGTGGCACACCCTGTCGTGCTCTCAGCAGGGTAATTAATCCAGCCCGTTAGTGTGTAATTAGCGGCACGCGGAGCAGAGCTTGCACAGCTCCCGGCTGCTATTGAAACCTCAGCATGGCCCAGTGGTGGAGGTATTCGGCCCAGGGTGTATCTGGAGGTCCCCAAGAGGTGCCCTGGGGATGGCCACAACCCTGCAGCACCTGAATGCTGCAAGAAAAGCCTCTAATCCACACCACAGCCCCAGCCAGAGCTGCAAATCCCTACTTAAATCCCACTGTTGGGGTGAGACCTGCATGCAGCAGAGCTGCCCAACATCAGGGGTGCATGCAGTTCTCCCACCGCCCCACTCTGCTTCCCCCAGGCACTGTGGGCACAGAGCACACTCCAAACCCTCCAGCAGGGCCCCAGCAGCCCTAGTGGAAGCAGCACGAGGCTTTTCCCTATATGCTGCCCCAGCAGGGCAGCTCTCCCCACCGCAAGGCTCTTACCCATGTCTGTGCTCCCAGGGATGCTTTGGGCTCTGCATCTTCTCAATGTGACTAAAGAGCAATTTTGGCTCCGGTCCCTGGTGGGGTTGGGATGCATCCAATTTCAGATCCTGGCATGGAGAAGGGAAAGCGGCCCCAAGCTCTACAGCTGTGCTCCAGCATCAGCCCTGGGGGGGGGCAGAGATCCCCAGAACCCTGCACAGTGAGATTCTGGGGGGGGGGGGAAGTGGATGGCTGACCCCCAGCGCTGCTGCTGTGTGGCCTCAGCCTTTACTTGGGAGAGCTGTGCATCACCTGCAGTATCCCCATGCAGCAAGGTTCTGCCACATCTGTCACTTTTCCTGAAAGCCCCTCCACCGAAATGACATGATGGTAAGAGGCAAAAATCCTTTTTTCTTTTTTTTTTCTTTTCCTTTGGTTTTTTTTTTTTTTGCTTTTTCTCCTCTAAATGAGCTGCTAAATAAGCTACAGTGGCTTAAGAAGGCCTGAAAGAATAACCCAACGTAGCTGTGTGCTCAGAAACCACAAAGCAAAACAATCCCAAATGTGTGGTTTTTACCCTTGCTCTTGGAATGCTCAGGTTTTGCACTTGGAGCTGAAGAGAAATGCAGAACATCAGCGGGGGAACATTCAAGCCTCTGAACCCCCCCTCCACCTCTGTGTGCCACTGGGGCTGCCCCAGATGTGCCTGGGGTGGGAGTGATGCAGGGTGGGATGAGCTCTGCCCCACATCCCCCCCTCAGGATGGAGGTGTGGGGCTGAGAACCCTGCACTCATTGCATGCGTGGGGGCACGGTGCCATCACTGTTCTCATGTTAATCAGCAGCGACAGCTCGGGTGGAGGGAAGGGGGGGAGGAAGGGGCTGCTGTCAGACTGCCTTCGCTGTGTCAGCTGTATCCCAGTTCTCAAAGGGGGTGGATTTCTGGTGCCCATCGGTGGTGCCAGGTCCTTGCTGTGCCTTGTGATCCTCTTGAAAGACCTTCTCTCTGTGCCGTGCTGGTGGCCGTGTGGTGACATCCTGGGGGTGCGTGGGGTTGGGCTGGGGGCTGTGGAGCCCTCAGGATCAGTGGCTCAGCGCCATTCAGCACAATAACCCTGCAGCGCTCTGTCCCCGCCCCATGGCTGTGTTTTGTCCCTGGAGCTGCTGCTATGGGAACCCTGGGGACACAGCTCTGAAGGGCAGGTCCCGCTCGCACGGCACCCGTCCTGTCCCCCAGCCCTGGTTCTCGCCACTGTGGGCTTGTGACTGTCTGGGGTACATCGGGGCACAGCTTGGATTGATGCCCTTGAACAGAGCCTGTTTAGCACCCTCCTTCCCTCCCCTCAGGATGGCAAGCAGCGATGTGAGCCACACTGGTGATGAGGAGGACCCCAGCTGCTGCGGTGCCATGGGGTGGCACAAGTGACAAGGACAGCCCAGGACGCCATGGGCAGCTCCTCACCTTGGCTGCACTGGACTCAGTCGGAGCTGGGCAGCCAGGAACCCAAGTGCTGGGAGGAGGAGGAGGAGGAGGAAGACTTTGAGAAGCACATGGATGAGAACGGTGTCATTGGGCTGGGGGCTGCCACAGCGGAGCTCAGCGATCCACAGGACTCAGGCTCTGAGTGGGGACAGGAGGCAGCTGGGAGCCCAGTATGGGGTGAGTATCCTCTGCTGCCCCTAAACCCTTGGGGAAGGGACCGTCACGCCGGGGGGGGTCCCTGGGTGGTGGGGGCCTGGGAGATGGTACACATTGGTGGCAGTGCTGCTTTGCAGGGGACGGCGAGGACTTGGATGTGGAGTCCCCAGCAGAGCCACGCTGGTATGCACAGCAGGATCTGACAGAGGAGGAGGAGGAGGAAGAAGACCAGGGCAGCTCTGAGGAGGACGGGAGGCCAGAGGGGCCCTGGGGAACAGAAAGCGATGGGGACCCCCATGCTGAGACCCCTCTGAAAGTCCTGGGTACCACCACAGATGGTGGCGGCACCTCGGGGCCTTCAGACTCCAGTCCTGTCCCCATGACTCCCCCACGCCAGCGCCGGGGTTGGGGCAAAGCCAGGGACCCCAGTCAGAGTTCCCAAACCCTGCAGCAGCCCAAACACAGTCGGCTGTCCCCCAGCCCCCGGCATCACACCGACACCAAAAAGCCAAAGGACCCCACGGACATTTGCCCATATGGCCGAGGGCGGCTCAACCACCCTCTGCCTGACCTCTCCAAGGTGGAAGCACGGGTGAAGGTGGGGCAGAGCTACCGCCCCCCACCCAGCAGGGCCCTGTCTGCCCGTGCCAGGCCCCACGGAGGTCCCCTTGTCCCCAAATCCCCCGCCGAAATCGTCCGGGAGGTGCTGCTGAGCAGTGGGGAGGGGGCCCTACCACGACCCTCTGCCCCCCCTGGAGTGCCACAGGAGCTCCGCTCCCCCAGGCAGGCCACTGCGCTGGTGCAGCAACTGCAGGTAACCCCAGAGCTGGACCGGGATGTTTGTATGCCCCGTGGGATGGTCATGTCCCCTTCTAGGGATGCACGTGTACCCCCTTTTGTTGCTTATATCCACACGTAGAGCTGCTCCTGTCCCATCACCCCAGGATGCCCATGTCCCCCTTGGGATGCCCTTGTCTCCTCTGTGATGCTCTTGTCCACCTTTGGTTTCTCCTGTTTCCCCAAGGATGTTCCTATCCCCTTCCGTGGCTTAGGATGCTCATTTCCACGCCCTTGGGATGCTCATGTTCCCCTAGGGATGCTCCTGTCCCCTCCCCAGGATTCTCCTGATGCCCTTCTCTCCCTTGGGAGGGGAGGGATGGTCCCATCACCCCCCCATGCAAGGCTACATCCACACCAGCTGTGGAGGTGTGGCAGCTCTGTACACCCCACAGTTCCCCCCCCCCATGACATGGTGACGTGTGCCCCCCGCAGGATGACTACCACAAGCTGCTGACCAAGTACGCCGAGGCCGAAAACACCATTGACCAGCTGAGGCTGGGGGCCAAGGTGGGGAGGGATGTGGGGATGTCTCCAAATATAGGGGTGGGGGGGGATGGGGACAGATGCGGTGCTCTGCAGGGCTTGGGGCATCCTTTCATCCTCCTGCGCTTCCCCCATTGCGCAGGTGGGGAAACTGAGGCAGAGTGCTCCAGGTTCCAAGCTGGACACCCCTCATGGCCTTGTTGCAATGGGGCTCCGGTGCCCCTGGTGCAGTGCCTGCTGTCTCTGCCCCCAGGTGAACCTGTATGCCGACCCGCCGTGTGCCAGCCGCAGCGCCCACGCCGGCACCATGAGTGGTGGCTGCAGGGTGATGGCCTTCAGCATCCCACGGGCCAGCGCCGCAGCCATCAGCACAGCCCCAAACCCGCAGCTCCCTGTGGGTGGAGGTGAGCTGAGCGCCAGGAAACCTCCTGCTCCAAACCCAACCACCCCACAGGTGCCCCAGTAGCAGGGGAAGCGGTGCTGGAGGTCGCCAGCTCTGCTTCTCTTTTGTGTCCAATTGCAGCTCCAGTGCCACAACCAGCAAAGCGGGGGGCAGCATCCCAGCCCTGCTCTCCTCGCTCCCCCCTGGGGGGCTGCCCCACATGTGTGGGGCCGTGCTGCTGTGCAGGGCCACGGCTCACACAGACACTGGCAGAGCAGACCTGCAAATTTCAAGCGCAGGTAAGTCAGGGGGACAGCCCCCAGCAGGGGGTTCCTAACCCTGCTCAGCCCCTTCTCTCCCACCCAGGTGGATTCCTTTGAAGCCTGGATCCGAGCAGGGAGCTCTGTGCCACAGGAGCAGCTCCAGGTACAGCATTGTGTGGTGCCCCAACCCACCCCTAAAGGCCCCGTCCCATTCCCAGGTGCTCTATCTCATCCCTAGGGACCCCATCCCACACTAGATTCCCTATCCTGTCCCCAAGGGCCTGTCTTGTTCCCAAAGTGGCCCATTTCATTCCCATCCTGTCCCCCCAAGCTCCTGTCTCTTTCTGCATCCCTAACCCCAGAGGGTGCAGCCCCAGTGCTGTGGGGTCACTGCAGGGAGGTTTGGGGGCTCCCTTTGCACAGCAGCGGTTCCAGAGGCTGCAGGATACACAAGATGCACTGGAGCGGGCGTACCTGGAAGCACGGGAAGAGCAGAGCCTTGGGGACACGGGGAACTTCGACCCGGAGCGGTGAGCACGGGTTGTGCATTCCCTGGGGTTGCAGTGCTGCTCGGAGCCCTGCATGGGAGCAGCCCCAGCCCCTTGTCCCCCCTGGTGATGGGCACTGTGTTGCAGCACAGTGGAAGGGGACATCTTCTGCCTGGGGATGCGCCTGGAGGAGCTGAAGGAGCGCCTGGAGCGGGCAGCACCAGGGAGCCCTGTGGTGACAGAGGGACCCCCCAGCACCGGGGAGACAGCGGGGGACACCGAGGTGGTGGCGGTGGGGCTGCCCCGACCCTTACAGCACAAGCAGCTCCAAGCAGAGGGGGACTTTGGGGATCTGTTGCATCAGTGAGTGTCCCTCAATGGGAGGTGGAGGGCACTGGGGGGGGGGCATCCCAAAACCTGCCCACGCCCCCCAGGTACCAGCACCTCAAATCGCTGCCGGCATCACTGAGCCTGGAGCAGCTGAGCCTGACAGGGAGCGCAGCACTGGAGGAGGCTGGTGGCACCGTGGCAGGGGACGGCGGCCCAGGGGGGGTCCTCAGTGGGACACAGTCACTGGAGGAGGGCACCGACCTTGAGACCTCCCCCTCGTAAGTGTGGGTGCAGTTGGGTGGATTCGGGGTGAACAGCCCCCATGGCACGCCTGGTACTCGCTCTCACTCCTCTCCCCACAGGCCCCCCCCTCAGAGGAAAGCAGTGCCGCTGCCCCACACTGAACCCCCACACCCACAGGGGACCCACGGCCGCCTGTCCCCTGTCACCACTCCGCTGCCACCATCCACCTCCAGGCTCCTGCTGGCATTCCCTGAACCTTTGCCATCGCGCACAGCCCCGTCCCGCCGCAGCAGTGAAACAGGGAGCACAGCCCCTCAGCGCCATGCCCTCAAGCCCTGCCACCAGGTGGGGTGCTTGGGGGGTTCCCTGAGGCCGTCCCTGTGCCTGGGGAGGGGACACGTGGCCCCAGTCCCACTCCATTCACAGGAGCAGCGCATGGTGTCACCGGAGACGGACAGTGGCTTCGTGGGCTCGGAGAGCAGCCGGGTGTCCCTGTTGGCACGCACCCCTCAGCATCGACCACTGGGCACTGGGTACAGCACCAGCACCCCGAGCTTGCTCCATGCCATGGGGCAGTGGGGGGGAAGAGGCAGTGGGGTGGGTGGGAGGTGGGGGCTGCCTCACTGACACATCCTTCCCCAGGACTCATGGCGTGCTCGAACCTCCTGTCCCCGCTCCCCTCCATCCGCAGAAGAAGGAAGCTCCGCTGCTGCCCCCCAGGAAGGGGCTGAGGGGTCCCTACCCAGCCCCTGAGCACAGCCCTCCCCCAGGCCACAGCGTGCCCCCCAGCACTCCCTCGCCGAGCAGCTCTCCACTGCGCTGGGCTGGCAGCCAAGGCAGTGAGCTGGGACCTGAGGGTGATGATGGTGAGTTCCCGGCCCCCAGCTGTACCCATGCCCCACGCTGCCCCACTGACTGCCCCATCTCTGCCCCCCAGCTCGCTCTGACTCAGAAGGAGGAGACAGGAGCTGCACCAGTGGGCACCCCCCGGGTGGGACGCCTGCCTCGCCATCTCCAGCTCCGGCTCACAGTGACCTGCTGGGATCCCGCATGGAGCGCGAGTGAGTGTCCCCAGCCCTGCCAGCACAGGGTGTGGGGGAGTCCCTGGGAGTGTAGGTTGTCCCTTTTGATGGGGGGCTGACTGGGAATAGTGGCTCCTGATGAGAGCTGAGTCTGCGAAATTCATGACGTGTGTGATCTGATCCAGCTCTGTGCTGACTGCGGGTACACCCACTCCTAAACAGCACAGGTTTGTATGGAAGGGCCCCCAGCTGTGTCCCACAGCGATGGGTTGGGGGACTTGGGGTTGTCCCTGCTCCTCAGTGTCCCCTCATCATCCCCCCATCATCCCCTGTCCTGTTCCTACAGCCGGGCCATCCGTGCACTGCAGGACGAGGTTTGGCGACTGCGCCTGCGGCTGGAGGAGAGCCTGCACCGGTCCCGCAGCTACCCTGAGGGCAGAGCCCCCCACACCCCCAAGGGGAAGAGGCAGGCAGCAGCCAGCAGAGCTTCATTCCTCCGGAATGCAGCACCCGTGGGGTAGGTGGCCAAGCAGAGACCAGATTGTCCCCAAAGAGCACTGGGTTGGGGGGTCTGGAGCACCTGTCTCTTTTCCTAGCCCTAACTCTAACCCATTTCCCTAGCTTTAACCCTAACTCTTATCCCTAGCCCCATCCCCTTTTCCCCTAGCCTTTTTTCCTTCAGCCTGAGCAGGGTTGGCTCAGAGGGGGTCCACGTTCCCAGCCCAAGTGAGGGTACACAAAGGTTTTCCCATGACACTGGGGTAGGATCCCTTGGCAGCAACTCGCTGAGGGTTGCACACCCCAGATATCTCCCTGTGCCTCCCAGCTGCCGGCTGGGCCCTGCCGTAGTGCTGTGCCCCACGTCCTGGTTTCTCTAATGGCTCCGTGCCCTCCGCAGGGAGCACAGCCCCACCTCACGGGGCAGGATGACCCCGGGCGGCCCCAGAGGCAGATGGGCATCGCTGCCACGGGATGGGACACCGCCAGACTTCAGTGAGTGGGGACAGCTGGGACCTCTCCAAAAAGAGAAAGGATGCGGTGGGGACCGGGTGCGGGGCACGGGGATCCCGTGTGGGGATCCTTGCGGGTCGGGGTGCAGAGCCGCTTCTTTCCCTGCAGCCTCCCAGTCGGACCGCTCGCTGCGTGCGCACGGTGACAGCCGTCCCCGAGCCGCGCCGTCCGCGCACAAACGCCCTCGCAGCCCGCTGGGTGCGGTGTCACTGCGGGGACAGCAGGCGGCTGAGCTCCGGGAGCCCGACCCGCTGGGTAACGCACACGGTCGCGCCGACACCGCGTTCGAGGGGACGCGTTACCGCGTGGCGCCGCCCCGTGGGGAGCCGAGCGCTGCGCCGTGCCCCCGCTGTCACCCCGACGGGACAACGACGGGTGAGCATCGCGTCCCTCCTGCTTCCCACCGAGCTCCTGCTTGCTCCATCTGTGCGTGTTTCCATACACCTTTCCCCCTCCCTCGCCTCCTTCCCCATCCCCGCAGGCGCCCCATCAGTCGATGCCACGCGGCCGCAGCGCAGCGGCACCTCCAGGACCCCCGAGAGCTGCCCAACGTGCCGGGCATCACGCGGTGACACGGACAGAGCCGGGCACGGTGGGTGATACCTCAGGGGGTGGAGGTGGCACGGAGCTGGGAACGTCGCACCCACCTCACCCACCGCCTCCCATCCACAGCCCAGCGCAGCAAATCGGAGGGCAAATCCCCGCCGGAGCCCCGCAGCCGCCCCCAGGCCGTGCAGCCGGAGCAGCCCGCAGGCTGTTGGTACCTGGCGGGGGGGCCTCCCGTCGCCTACCTCGCCCCCGTCCCCGTGGTGCCTTACGGGCCCTCACTGCTGTAAGGATGCTCAGCGATGGGGGGGGGGGGG